CTCACTCTTGTTTTAAAGTTTATTTATAAATATATAAAAAAGCAAGGTTAATAATGCCAAACAATATATACATATATATATGTATATATATATAAATATATATATATAAATATAAATATATATATATAAATATATATATATATATATATATATATATATATATATATATATATATATATATATATATATATATATATATATATATATCAATATATAATATATATATATATATATATTAATATATAATATAAATATAAACACATTTTGCAACCGTTAGACATGTGATAGATGAATGCCCTAGAGATTTGAGATTCTAATCTTGTTTAGAAGATAATAACTTAACACAGATAAATAACTTTTCCAACCTACCGTCATTCCAATCTTGTTGAACCGTCATCAACACTTGACCTAATTATTAGTGATGATCCAGATAGGTTCATAAAAGACTCAGAAGATGACCCACTGGGGTTTACAAAAACAGGTCAATCACACTGTGTTATTCCTGGTATATTGGCTGTTCATTTAAAAGAAACAGCACCAAAACTCTCACGTCCTTGTTTTATCTAGAATTGAGCCAAATATGATGCAATATCAACAAAAATAGCTTTAAACAACTGGCATACTATGTTTGAAGGTCATACAGATAGTTTTTCCTTACTTATTAATATATACAAAAAATACATTAAAGAACACATACCATCAACTTTAGTTCCACCTAAAATAAAAAAGTACCGTGGATTACATCAGAGGTAAAAGCAACAGTAAAAGAAAAACATTATGGCTCAAATACATTGCTGCAGGCCGCCATACTCATAAAAATTTACGAAATGCACATAAAGTTGCATGCAAAAATGTTAAAAAGGTTGTTAAAGACGCAATACTTTCATATAAAGATGATTTAGTTTATGCTTTTAAGTCTAACCCAAAATGCCTATACTTACATATTCGCAGCAAACAACGAGTTCATGAACAAATTCGCAGCCTACAAACAATGAACAACTCAACCACTACAAAAAAAGACGAAATTTGTGCATTACTAAATAATTATTTCCAGACAGTGTTTGCAGTTGAACAAGAAGGTTCTATGCCATATTTTAATCTACACACACAAACCATATGTCAGTTTGATGAAGATAGCATTTGTGAGCGTGAAGTAGTAAAAAAACTAAAAGAGTTATCTGAAAGTAAGGCCATGGGTTATGACAAAATACATCCATGAATTCTTAAAAAGTGTGCAACATCTTTTGCAATCCCAATCACAATAATATACAAGAAATTTATATCCACAGGTAATGTTCGAGATTTGCGGAAAAAATCTAATATTTTACCAATTTTTAAAAAAGGAAGTAAACTTCAACCATCAAATTACAGACGAATATCACTAACATCCATAGTCTGCAAAGTCATGGAAAGTCTTATAGATGATTGTATAATGAAGTTTTGCAGAAAATATAATCTTATATTCAAAGCTCAACATGGTTTTGTTCCTAAGCGAGGGTGTGTCACAAATCTTCTTGAAGCACATGACATACTTACAAAAGCATGCACCTAGGGTTTCCTGCAGATGTAATTTATATAGACTTTGCCAAAACATTTGATAAAGTTCCACACAGGCGCCTGTTACACAAACTGCAAGCCTATGGGAATAGTGAAACCCTGCTTAAATGGGTTAACTAGTCGGCAAAAGAGAGTAGTATTAGACGGATTAACATCTGAGTCCCCATGATTAGCGGTGTGTGCCACAGGGCTCGGTCCTTGGTCCACTACTATTTTTTTTTTATTAATGATTTGCCGGACACCACTCTACACCACACAAAACTTTATGCCGATGATGGTAAAATTATCAGAGTCATCAAATCTCTGCAAGATGCCAACCTTCTTCAAGCTGACATAGATAAAATAGTTGACTGGTCGCACAAGTGGTTAATGCCTTTTAACATCAATAAATGCAGAGTTATGCATGTTGGACGAAGTAACAAGTCAACACATTCATACACAATGGCACAGCTAGATGGAACTTGTTGTACACTGGAAGAAACAATAGTGGAACGAGACCTTGGGGTAATTGTTTCCAATGACTTAAAGGTCAAAACTCAAGTTGAAAAAGCAGTCTCAATTGCAAATCAAATGTTCAATCGTCTCTAAAAAGCTTTTTGTAGCTGCAGACTAGTTTTATGGAAAACACTATACCTTGCATACATTCGTCCACATCTAGATTTTGCTGTACAGGTTTGGTCTCCTCACCTAAAAAAAGATATTGTGATGATGGAGAAAGTGCAAAGACGTGTTACAAAAACAATATCTGAGATAAAACATTTACCATATGAGGAAAGATTACAAAAGCTGAAACTAACATTGCTTGTGGATCGCAGGAAACAAGGTGACCTAATCCAGCAGTTTAAATTTTCTCAACAGATTGACGAAGTTAACCTTCATTTTCCTCAAACTCTAATAAATTCAAAAACAAATTACAATCTCTGTGGACACAATCAGCGATTAATGCCTCAACTAGTCAAAGGTTGGATTGAACGAGAAAACCTTTTTACAAATAGAGTAACAAAACAATGGAACGCTCTTTCACAGAAAGCAGTTGATTCACCATCTGTACATTTCTTTAAAGAATTTATAAGAATATATATGTATATATATTATTATTATAATATATATACATATATATTGTGTATATATATATATATATATATATATATATATATATATATATATATATATATATATATATATATATATATATATATATATATATATATATATATATTGAGTTTGGGATGGGGAGCAGTTTTTTCTTTCATTCTTTTTTTTCTTTCTTCTTTTTCTAATTTCATCAGAAAAGTTTAAGAAATGATAGCTTCCTATGCCTAACCCTCAGTTAATGTAGTGGCACTTCTTTGTGACAGAAGGCTATAAGATAGTCGATTTATTGACTATATATATTATAATAATTTTTATATTTCACTAATTCGGCAACAACCATGCCAAAAATGTGAATTTGGCAAAGTTTGCTAATTCAACATAAAATATATTTTTACTTTTTTTTACTGCTATTTTGTGATATTTTGAATATTTATTATTATTGTTTTACAATATATTGGGAAATATTAATTAAATTGTACTATTACTTAATAGGTTTTTACTTAAAAAAAATCATTAAAGTCATTGAATTTTGAGAATTTTAAACTGAATGGAAATTCCGCTTTGTACGCACCTTAACAGGAAAATCTCTATGGAAAATTTATGAAAAAACCCATGGAATTTCCATGGGTATTTTAATTTACTTCATAACTACCCATCAACACACAACTTTTTAATGTTTTATATAAATGTTACCCAATGTTGGGTAACATTTAGATTAAAAAAGTAGCAGTCAATATATCATTATTTATAAATAATAATTATATATTTATCACCTCCATATTTTTCACCCTAGCTATCTGCATGATGTACAACATATTTCCAGTCAAACATGTGATTGCCTAAAATGTGATTTAAATAAAATAATAAAGTTAAAAAAGATTTATACACAAACTAATACATGTATAAATGTTACCTGCTTGTTAGAAACATTTATATAAAACAAGACAGCAACAAATATAGTATTACTTATAAATTGTAATTTAAAAAAAAACTTACTTCTTTATCTCAGCTATCTGAAAGATGTAAAACATTTCTATCGCCAGTCAAACCTGCTGATATTGTAGTAATTTAAATAAAATGATAAAGTTGAATTAAAAGGACTTATGCACTATTAAATTCATAAATTTATTATATTTTTACTTTATTATTTAAAACATAATAAATAAAATAAATATGTAATGTGAAAACATGATAAATATTCAAGGATGCGCATAAGTTAATTTATTTTTACTTAAGACAAGCACTTAACATTAGTTAAATATTAGCAAATAAAAATAATTGTATAATAATAAATAATAGTGTTTATAATATAATAGTATTTTTTTTATATTTAAATATTTATATATTTATAAGCATTGCTTTTATATGCTTATATTTAACTGTGAAATAAAATCTTGTGCTTTAATAAACTTTCATTTCTGCTCTATTTTTCCTTATTATTCTTGAAACATCATTACAAGTTTAATTCCAAAGATTACGCTTATATCTTTTAGTTTTTTAAATTGTTAATTTGCTCTCAGTTCACAATTTTATTTAGACAGCTTTTGAAATATTAAAAAAAATATTAAATTCATATAAAAACTGTTATGTTACAAATGATATAAATGATGAACAACAATATTTATTATCGTAATTGAATACTAAGACCAAGATTCCAAACTTCAAGACCAAGACAATTAAATGAGTCTCGAGACGTCTTGGGACCAAGATTTAAGTTTCGAGACCAACATCTCTGATAATATCATACTACAATGCATTATAAAATGCATACATTTATCATATTCTAGCTATTGCGAGTATGTCTGGTGTGTTTGTCTGTATATTTATTTTGAATCATATTAAATGTGATGCATTATAAAAAACATCCAATTTACAATCTTATTAAATACAGAAAAATGGAATGAAATTCAAGAAATATTATTTTCCTAAATTACAAATGGTTGTGACTCTACAAGTTATGATCTTTAAATGCGCATTAGTAAAACCCATGGTGCAACATGAGCTATAAAAAAAAGACCATAGTTTACCCAAGGAAATTGAATGGGATTTCAATTTCCATGGAATATCCATGAAATTTCAATTTTCATGGTAAAACCATGGTTTTTTATGTATATATATATATATATATATATATATATATATATATATATATATATATATATATATATATATATATATATATATATATATATGTATATGTATATGTATATGTATATGTATATGTATATGTATATATATATATATATATATATATATATATATATATATATATATATATATATATATATATATATATATATATATATATATATATATATAATGTCTATTATTTACTTTTATTTCAATAGCATCAGCAACCGATTGCATATTAAAAAAGTTGAGTTATAACAGGCAAATCGTTTATAATAATGGAGTTTCAGTTAATTTTGACATAAATTCATGTGTAAATTTTTGTTCAAGTTATCAGAATACAAACTCAACATATAATGGATATATTGCAAGTGGAATAGCTGTAACTAATAATGACTGCCTGTGTCTTTATGGATTTACTGGTAAAACAACATCTGCTTATTATGGATGTTTGTATTTTGAGATGTCTCCAACAAATGTGGTTACAAGCGTTAAAGGTAGAAATAAAAAATATTTAATTATTCAACTATTTATTTGTTAGTATTTATTATAGATTAATTGTTTATGAATGTTACTAAATATAAATATAATTTATAAATATTGATTAATTAAAAATTACTATAAACTTTTATAAGTTTGTAGTTTAATAGCTTGTCTTAAATTGTCTTTTTTGTTATAGGTAGGTAGGTCCTTAATACATTCGATTTTATTGTCCAGTTTTTAGGTATTATAAGTTTCCAGGCTTTTTCTAATTCAACATCTTGACTAAAAAAAGGTTGATAAAGTAACTCTAACAGTAAGTAAAAGCACAAATAAATAAATGCATTACAATTAAACATTTTTTAAAATATAGCTGATAATGCTGTCAAGTAATTCTTTTAAAGGATGCTGTCAAAAAATGTTTGATTTTATACTGAAATATTAGATAAATACAAAATGTTTAATACTAGTATAATAACCTAATTCATTTTGTTAAAACAAACAAATTTTATGAAACATCAATATATTTAGAACTTTTTTTTACTTTAAAAAAAGTTCAGTCAAATAATTTTTAAAAGATTTTTTGTTTTGGTAATTAAATTACAATGTGTAAAACCATGCACATTCCATTACACCGAAGGTTATATCTTTTTTTGTATAAAGTTTATATTTTGGATATAGTATTGGCTTCAGAGTATGGTTAATCTATTAACTTTTCATAGTGTGTATAACAAAGAGTACCCATTGTTCATCACCTGTTTATCAAGCTAACTCCTAGTATATTATTTTTTAGATGAAAATATGTTTAAAGACAAAATATACAAAATTAAATAGATTTTATTAAGAAATAATGCTACAAATAAAGGTGATTAGCAAAAAAATATATATATTGATACTGTATTGAAAGGTATTGATTTTTTGTGAATTTTAAGAGTATCTCAGTTAACTTTTATTACAAAGAGTATAGTAGCCTAGATAGCTGAATACCGCAGATTGGCTGTTTGTCATTTGGATACTAACTAAATTTAAAAGTCATGTTATATACTATATCATAATTTTCATCTTATTGACATCATACTATGTCACCTTTATTCATTTCCCTAATATATTTACATGTGATAAGTGTTTAAATTGTTTAATTTGTGTCAGCATAATGCATTTTTTTAAACTTTAAAACATTTGTAGTATGTATGTAGTATATTATGTTTTTAACTTTTTAGAAATCAATGAGCAAGTGATTCAAAAATCTAAGTTAATTACAACTTTGTCTTTTTTGGATAAGACGTTTTCAATTTCTTTTATGTTAAAACCAATTTCTTCAATGTCAAATAAAGATGTATGGTATAATATTATTCATTTGACAATTTATGATGAAGGCAGTATATATGGAGCAAGAATTCCTGCTATATGGATTTATCGAAGTTCATTGATATACATTTGTTTTGCATTAAGTGGAGAACATAATTATGTTGTAGGTCCCCAACCACTATCACTAGATGTATGGTCAAGTCTACTTATATCACAAACTGAATTAAATGGAGAATATATATTCACAGTTTATTTAAATGACCAAATTCTCCATAATAAAATAAATACTCAGCCACAAATTTTTAAAAATGTTCAGGTTTATGCATCAAATCCATGGTATGAAGCACTTAATGGCTATATTAAAGATTTCAAAATTGTTAATGGATATGTTGGTTAGTTGTCTTTTTAAATAAAAATTTATTTTTTAAGATTTATGATGCAAACATATAATATTTATACATATTCATTATTGTAATTTACTATTGTTTATATATTATTATTCTTGTGCGCTATGTATATTATTCTTGTAATATAAATGACAACAAAAACTTGTCAAGGAAAAATTAAAATTAATTGCTACAATTTTTCTATTAGGAAAAGTATGTCACATTTTTATGTCTTTTTTTATTTTATTGTTTTAAAACAACTTTTTGATTGTTTGAATTATTAGAATTAGTTTAAAACTTTATTTAAAATTTATCGTAAGTTTTAGTTTTAGATAAAATTTTATAGTAAATTTTATATCAATCAATCAATTAAATCATATATTCTGAAATAATTGTCACAATCACTTAAATTACAAGTAGTAAATGTACTAATCTTAAGTAAAAACCTTGCAAATAGAAGCTATTAAATATATTGTTAATGCTAATAGTAATATTAATCGTCTACAGAAGTAACAAAACGAGCATTAAAAGTTGAAGGAGTAAAAATACTAATAATGATAATAATAGTTGTAGTTGTAACAATAATAACAATACAATGATAAAGTAAAGTGATAATAATAAAAATAACCTGACAGAAATAAAAATAATTACAATAATCATAAAAAAATGATAGTAATTTAGCATTAGTCATACACATACACACATATACAGACACATACAAATACACACATACAAACACCCATACACACTTACGTTCAAAAATACATATAAACACATATACTTATATCCCCCTGTATTCAATACAGGTATGTATACAGTAATTGTATATAAACATAATACACACCCATATATGTAGATTCATATATACTATACACAAATATACGTATATATACACAGGTTCATATACAAACACACTTCATAAACACATACATACATACACATATACAAAATATAATACATATACACACATTTAATAATATTATATATGTGTGTTATATATGTATATATTATATATACATATATAACATATATAACATAGGTGTATATATAGTATATACACCTACACATATATTCACACACACACACACACACACACACACACACACACACACACACACACACACACACACACACACACACACACACACACACACACATATATATATATATATATATACATATATATATATACGTATATACATATATATACATATATATATATATGTTATACATATATATATATATATATATATATATATATATATATATATATATACATATATATACGTATATACATATATATACATATATATATATATGTTATACATATATATATATATATATACATATATATATATATATATATATATATATATATATATATATATATATATATATATATATATATATATATATATATATATATATATATATATATATATATATTATATATATATATATATATATATGTATATATATATATATATATATATATATATATATACATATATATATATATATATATATATATATATATATATATATATATATATATATATATATATATATATATATATATATATATATATATGTATAACATATATATCAGTCTTCTCTGTTAGGCCGACACTTTCGTACTCAAGTTTTTATGCTTGCCCACACATCTGTTAAAACTTTGGCAGTTGCATAAAAAAGCACTTGCGACAACAATAATAGTGTTTTATTTTTAATTGCAAAAAATATTTTCATTTAAGTACTTTTCTAAAAAGTTATAAAAACACTTTTATGTATAAATTATTTTGTTTAATTTTAAAATAACGCTGGTTTTTCTATTATTTTGTTAGAATTATCTTATTTAGATTTTAAGTATGACATTCATTTTGCCATTTTTAAAATACTTCCTCTGTTTTTAAATTATAGTCCAATTCGCATTCAATGTAAAAATTAATTGAAAATAAATTATATTGTTAATTTTTTTTATTTTTTACTATAAAATATATTTGTCTTTATTGTAATAATATATTTAAATATATTATTTAATAATGTATTTTATTATATAAAATAATATATTTTATATATATTTTATTATATAAAGTAATATATATTTCATGCATAATATTAAAAAAATTAGCAGCATAATTTATTTTCTTTAAGTTGAATGCAAATCAGAACAGCTTTTTCAACAAAGGGAGTAATTATTTTATTTAGAATTTAAATAAATTATAACTTTTTTTTTAAGCCGTTTTTATTTTAATTATTTTAATTTAGAATATTTGTTTATATGTTTTTTAGTTTTATTATTTTTTATATAGAATTTAAATAAAACTTCTGTATTTTCGTTTTTATTTAGTTATTTTACTTGAAATTTAATTAAACTTTTTTTTTTAAATTTAATTATGTTGTTTAATATTTATTTAAAACATTTTTTTAATTATCTTATCTAAAATCTTTATAAAATGTTTGTTTTGTTCTTTTTTAATTATTTCAATTATTCAAAACATTTGTTGTTTTTATTTGTGCTTTTTTGTTTGCTGGCATTAAATTTTAAATGGAGAATACTGATTATATATATATATATATATATATATATATATATATATATATATATATATATATATATATATATATATATATATATATATATATATATATATATATATATATATATATATATATATATATATATATATATATATATATATATATATATATATATATATATATATGTGAAGCCGTGAACCTTAGACATATGCGGACAAATAGGAACAATGTTTTGATATATATAAACATACGTGGCTATAAAAAATATTAAAGATGGCTTACTTATAAGAATATATATATTTAAGTGTAGTACAGTGTTTTATTAACGACACAACAATGGCGCTACGAGTGAGGGACGATTTGAATTTAGATGACCCAGATAATGCAGAAGCATGGATTAGATGCTTTTCAGCTTCCACACGTTCAAAGAAATTAAAAGATGAGATAAACGGTAGCTACAAGATAACAGATTTATTTATGGCAAAAGCAGGGATTGAAGCAGTTAAAAAGATTTCTCTTATGGTATATCCAGAAGAATTAGAAAATATGATGTTCGATGATATTAAAACTGTTGTTATGTCCCATTTGAGACCTCAAAAACGATTAATTATTGCTGAAAGAGTTCGATTTTTAGCATTAAAACAGCAAACCAATGAAAACATCGTACCATATGCACAAAGATTACGCGAAGCTTCACACTTTTGCAACTTCGAAAAATTGGGAAGAGATGGCCAAAGTGCGGAAGATGATTTGATTCAAATGAGATTGATTGATGGTCTCCAATCTTCTGATCAGAGAGTTAAAGCTCTAGAAATGATACAGAGTGGAGAATCGCCTAAACTAGGAGCATGTATTGATTTTATCAGGCAACTGGAGCAAATATCCTGTTTTAGTATACAAAACAACATCGAAAACAGCATAGACCTTCCTTCAGTTAATTACATTGATAAAAATAAAGAAAGAATGATTAAATGCAAGTATTGTGGCCTTCAACACCCACCTAGAAAATGCCCAGCATTTGGGAAGAGTTGTAAAAAATGTGGAAAGCTGAACCACTTTAAAAACGTATGCAAAGCAAACACTAAATATGAAAAAATACTAGAGGAAATAGAGAACGATGATGCTAGTGTGTATTCCATTAACATGAATGATACAAACTCAGAGATTAGTGTAAAAATTAATGACTACAATATAAAAATGCAAGTTGACACCGGAAGTCAAGTCACAATTATTCCAAAAAATATTTGGGAACTAATGTCTAAACCGAAATTACAAAAATGCTACCTTCGCCTGAAACAGTTTGATGGCACAGTTATAAAAGTCCTAGGCGAATTTGAGGCAACTTTGGAAACCGAATCAAAAATGAATATCATACAAATTATTGTTGCAGACTGTACAAAAAATCATGGTCTAATTGGTATGGATGTATTAAATATCAACGCCACAAAATTAGTAAATAGTATAGAACCTCTTGTTCATGGGCGTTTAATTAATTACAAAGCAAATATTCTGTTAAAAAACGGCGTACAACCAACTTATTTTGAAGCTCGACCTCTTTCTATCCATATAAGACCACTAGTGGTAGATAAACTTAATGGAATGATACAGCAAGGGTTGCTTCAAAGGGTTCCTCCTGATGGAAGCAGATGGGCTTCACCGCTTGTGGTTGTTAGAAAAACAGACGGAGATTTACGCATTTGTGCGGATTACAAAATAGGTGTTAACCAAAAAATATGCTCAGACTCATATCCCATCCCAAACATTGAGACCGTTGAGATGGACAAAGAGGCACAAGAAATAACAACAGTTAATACCCCTATTGGATTATTAAAATGGACCTGTTTACCTTTCGGAATTAAGACTGCAAGTGCGATATTTCAAAGAGCAATAGAATCTGTTGTTGGCGATATTATTCCCAATATGATTATATTTCAAGACGATATATGTGTCGGTGCTAAAAATGCTGAAGAACTCAAATCGAATTTAAACAAAATATTGAGCAAATTGAAGGAATCGGGAATGAGCATAAATAAACGAAAGTCAGTGAATGAAACAAAAAGTCTTTCATTTTTAGGATATGAACTGTCAGAAAAAGGAGTTACCCCAGATCGTAATTTAGTCAGCAAAATACTTGGAATAAGTCCTCCTAATAATAAAAAGGAACTCGAGTCATTTATAGGATTAATAAACTTTTATGGTCGACACATTGATAAATATGCTGAAAAAATTTTACCTTTAAACAATTTAAGAAAGAAAGGAGTTACATTCAAATGGAGGAAGGAGCATCAACAGGCATTTGAATTGCTAAAAAGAAACCTTTGTGAAGAACCCGTAGTGAAGGTTTATGACATCAACCAAGATCTAGAGTTAACAACAGATGCTAGCGAGAAAGCTATATCTGGAATACTTTCACAGAATGGCCATCCGGTATTGTATCTCTCACGAACTTTATCAGACGCTGAGACAAGATATTCTAATATTGAGAGAGAAGCTTTAGCTATTGTATGGTCTGCTCACAGAGCTAGGCATTTTCTGTTGGGTAGAAAATTCAATTTAATATCAGATCACAGGCCATTAGAATTTATATTTGATAGTAACAAAGAATTGCCCAAAGTCACATCCGCTAAAATTTTAAGATGGACCATACAAATGATGGCATTTGACTACGAAATAAGCTACAAGAAGGGAGAAAACATTCCTCATGCTGACGCATTATCGAGATTGTTCTTTCTACCACAAGATGAAGAGAAAGACCAAGAAACATTTATACACTTAGTCGAGTCAGATATAGTGAACCTTGAGCAAATAATAAAAGAAACAGAAAATGATAGGGTATTGATGGACATCAAAACCAGAATTAGGAAGAATAATTGGAGCAGATGCTCGGTAACAGAAAGACCCTATAAATCTATTAGGAATAAACTGACTATCGAAAAAGGAATTGTGTGTAATGGTGACCTCATTGTACCTCCTAAGACAATGAGAAAGATCTTCATCAAATCGATCCATGTTGATATACATTGTGGCATAATGCAAACGTGATGTAGATTAAAATTAGAAGCCTGGTGGCCTGGCTACTGTCAAGATGTTGAAGAATATGTCAAAAACTGTGAAAAATGTGCCGAAATAAAAGTGAAGAAGGAAAGGACATTACATACATGGCCAAGTGAAAATAAACCTTGGTGTAGAGTACATATGGATCAGGCACATGTACAGGGTATCGGACTGTTTTTGATTTTAGTAGATTCTTTTTCTGGATGGCCAGAAGTTGTTAAGGTAAATAACCGTGAAGCGACCACTGTAAAGGCAGTACTACAAAGTGTTTTTTCAAGAAATGGAGTTCCAGAGGTTTTAGTATCCGACAATGCTGCGGAATTTCATGATACCACCTTACACCAGTGGCTAAAGAAAGTAGATTGCGTACCTTATAAGACTCCACCTTACCATCCTCAATCTAACGGAGCAGCTGAAAGAATGGTAGAGACAGTTAAGATGGGTTTAAGAGCTTATTCACCGGACAAAGGTTTATTATGTGGATATTTAAGCAGAATGCTTTTAAGTTACAGAACAATACCTCATGCAGGAAGATCAAGGAGTCCTTGCGAGATGATGGGAAGGCAGTTGAGATCCCTTCTCACCATGAGTTTCGAAAGTGGGACACCTTTATGATACCGTCAAAAACCAGATTCCAAACCTGAACCTGCCTCATTCATCTCTTAGGCAGGTCTAAACACTGCAATCATATTAAGGAATAACTCTTCGGGTACGTTAGCACACTGTGACCAAATAAACAAACGCCTAAATGAGCCTAGTATACTTATGAATAATGAAGACAGTATGCGGTATGATCATACCAATCATGAAAAAATCGATCCATGCAATAGTGATAAATCTGATATGTCCGAACTACATGTTAGTAAAGAAGAACCTAACCAGAATCGAAGAAGTACTCGGTCGACAAGGGGGCAAAAGCCAATACGTTTCAGGGATGTGAAGCCGTAAACCTTAGTCATATGCGGACAAATAGGATCAATGTTTTGATATATATAAACATACGTGGCTATAAAAAATGTATATTAAAGATGGCTTACTTATAAGAATATATATATTTAAGTGTAGTACAGTGTTTTATTAACGACACAACAATATATATATATATATTTTGTTTTTTTTGTTTTTTTGTTATTCACCTCCTCAAGGCCAAGAAGGCCACTACAGACGAGGAGGCTATTTAATAGTGGTTATAACCCTCTCTCAAGTTTATAACTCCGAAACACGAAACCTTGACAATCAAGGCCGCTGCACGGAAAAACAAGTTGAGCGCAGTACTACCAGGGACGTGGTGGGGATCGAACTATATTTATATATATATATATATGTATATATATATATATAAATATATTTATATATATATATATATATATATATATATTTATATATATATATATATATGTATATATATATATATATATATATATATATATATATATATATATATATATATATATATATATATATATATATATATTAATATATATATATATATTTTATACATATATATATATATATATATATATATATATATATATATATATATATATATATATATATACACACACACATATATATATATATACATATTTATATTTATATATATACATGTGTTTATATTTAATAGATAAAAACATTTATTATAGATTTTGTAGATGAGGTCAGTGAATTCATGATAAAAAGAAATAATTTGATTGCATTATTATCATACTTGGACAAGGCATACTCAATTTCATTTAAAATTAAACCCAAGTCCTATTCATTTGGATTGAAAAATATTATTCATTTAACCATTAATAAAGATTTAGGTAAATATGGTGATAGAACCCCAGCTATATTTTTTCTTTCGGATAACTCACATAGATTAAGCATTACTTCAGCCGTTAGCGGAAATATCATTTATGATTTTTTAACCCAGCCACTACCACTGAATGAATGGACAAGTATACAAATATTACAAATCCAATTAAATGGAAAGTATGTATATTCAGTGTATTTAAATGAAACGATGGTTCATAGCATTGAGAATACAAATCCACAATCTTTTGAAAATGTCAAAGTCTATGCTGCAAATCCTTGGTATGATGCACTAGATGGCTCCATTAAAAATCTCAAAATTATAAGCGGAAGTAACGGTAAAATAAATTTTTAATTTGTTAACACTATGTAAAGAATTTTCTCATTGAATTTTTTTTTGTTGAACATTTTGTTTTAAAACTAAAATTATTTCACTATTGCTCTGCAAATAAAGCTGTTTTGTTATAATATTTAAATAAATAACCTGTTGTTAGTGATGTTGTGATGTTGTGTTGTCATGATGAGTGTGTCCATTAGAATTAAGAAGAGAATTGAAGGAAGAGTTTCTTTTAATATTAACTTATGCTTTAAAAAATAGCTAGTTATTTATATAAATACTTGCAAAGTTTTAACTGCATGATTGTCTCCATTAAAGATCTCAAAATCGTTAGTTGAAGTAATGGTAAAATAGATTTTTAAATCTACAATATGTAATAATTTTTTACTCTTTAAATATTTTTTTAGTTTAACATTTTTTTTTAAAGCTAAAATTATTTCACTATTTCACTGCGATTGAAGCAGTTTGTTTTATAACATTTAAAGGATTGTTTTTTAATGATGTCTTGATGAGTGTGGAAAAGTGAGTTAAAGCAAATGTTTCTAAAGTCATTTCGAACCAGAGAGTAATATGTTATAATATTTTACTTATGATTTCTTGCTAAAAGAAGATATTTTCATTTATTTTTATTTTAAGCAGTTTAAATTTCGCTATGATAATTTTAATTTAAAATTGTATTTAGATTTAAAGGACAACTTTTTTGATGATTAATTTTTTCTTTTAGGAGTTTGGGTTCCAATGATGACACGATTTGCCAGTTGGGAATCGACTTTTTGGGATAAAAGCTATGAGGCTTATGAAAATGGTTTTGGTTTGGTAAATCAACAATGGATTGGCTTAAAAAACCTTAATCAAATAACAAGCACTTTTTTTACAGATATGAGAATTGATTACACTTTCAAGGAAGGTATAACATTTAGTACAAGGTATTATAATGTTACAATTGGCTCAAGTGAAGAGAAATATATCTTTCAATATGAAAAGTATAATCCAAGAGGCTGTGAGTTCTGTTTTTATTGTTAATTTGAATCATTATAGTAATTAAAATATGCATTAAATATTTTTAATAGTTACTACAACATGTTTTTCTTTTCTAATTTGTCTTTTTTTTTTTTTTTTGCTTTTTGTTTGATTGATTGTTGTTTTTTTGTTGTTGTTTTTATTGTTTTTTTTTAACAAAAAACATCAAAAAAATGATTTTCCACTATTCTAATTACTTTATTTTTCCATTAGTCATTCACTTCTCATTCGGCAAATTTATATGCCAAAGTTTTTAGTTAATATTGAGCCTAGCCAGTAAGGGTTAGTGTTACGGCATCAAGCACAACTATTTTCCAAACATGATTACTGTCACCAAAAACTAAAATGTTTGATAAAACATGTTCTTGGAATCATATCTTAATCATTAGGAGTTTTCTCTTTCTAATGTGAATTTCTATTAGAGTTTAATTAGAAAATACTTAGTTTATTTGTAATAGTTTGTTAAATAAATATAAAACTTCATCATGAAAATTTTTTTTATGATTAAAGTTTTATAGTTGTGTCAAAAAGAATGTTAGGAGTTCTTCGTCTTAACTTTAAAGCTGAGTTATAGTCACCAAGATCAAGAGATATGTCCCAGAATGTTGTAGAAATAAATCTAAAACATTGAAGCATTTTTAATAGACAGTTTATTTGTTTTAAATTAACTCTTACTTATTCATGTTTTGAAATCTAAATGTAGTATAGTTGTGAGATAAAAATAAGTTTGTCTCATCTGCAAACATAATTGTCATTAAAATTGAGGGTTTATAGAGATCATTGATGTAAATAAGAATGAGAAGAGCTAATATCGATCACGGAGGAGCTCCCTCCCTCTAGATTTATCCACATTGTGTTAAGTAAACTTAGCTAGTAAATCTTTTCAGTTTAATGAGTTCCCTAGAGATCTACTTAGTAGTGTAGTTATTTAAGTAAGTACTTAAAATTAATGAGAACATGTTTTTTGAATCATATCTTGGTTTTTATGATTATTCTTTTTCTAATGTGCCTGTAAAACTTTTAGTGAAGTTTTATAGAATAAATAGAACCTGTTAATAGAATCTCAGAAAGTGTTTATGTCAACAGTATACATCAAATTAGGCTTCATCAAGCAACTTGTCAATGCTCTTGACATGGAGTCAAGCTCCTTTAAGACCTTTTTTGAAACTTTTACCGTCATAAGACCACAGATCAATAGTATCATAGAATGTGACAAGTGCACCAACTCTTGAACAGGACAGAGAGAGCAGCATAAAACAGTTTCTTTGCAGTTATTCATGGCTTTCTAAGTAATGACAAGACTGAAACTAGGTGGAGTTGGTTCAGATTCTCATAAAGAATACACCAAAACAAATGCAGAATGTCTGTAGAGGTTCATATCTTTGACACTCATTTTTAAAGGATTTTGCTTACTAAGAACTGCAAGCTAAATGCTTTTATCAAGATATATTAGACTTTAAACATAGTTATTAAGGACAGTTTAGCAAAAACATTATGGGGAACTGCATTTTAGGCTAAGTTTTGTGCTGCTGTCATAAAATCAAAGTTTGTTCTGCAGCCGTGTAGTTGTTATTTAATTATAAATAAATTAAATGTTGTGTTGTTTTTTGTTTTTTTTATCAAACAATGTTTTTCCACAGTTTTTTGAATTAAGCAATTGAAATGTAACACTTTGAGTTCAAGAACTAAATTTGTGTTATGTAAGTGATAATAATTATTTTGTTATCGAGTATTAAATTTTAACCACTATTGTTTAAAGTATTTTTAATTATAAGAATTTGGTTAACAATGCAAAACAGTAACTCGAACTCGTGTAGATCTTTGATCTGATAAATTTTGATTAACAAATCAAGTAAAACATTTAAAAACAGATAAAAATAAAGAAAATTATTTTCAATTTATTTGTTATATTAATAAGTTACATCCAATTTTTTAAATCAACATTTGCAAGACTTGATTCCTACTACACATATCAACATTGTTTTTAAGTCTTTTGATTCCTACTATACATATCACAAACTACTAAAACAATTAAACAGCTCAATATTTTTCTTCAGGTGTCTTACACTAAGCTCTACGCAAAAAAATCTAATAACAAAGCTCTATTTATCTTCCTGGTGTACATAAATAAAGGTTTACACATAAATATACATTAATTACATTAGTGTTAACATTTGGCAAGAAATGCTTATTTTTGTTGTACTTTCAGTTATTAATTCAACATTTTCTGTTTTAGTTTTTATATTTTAAAAGAGAAATCTAAATATCAGATTTAACATTTCAATCAAATTTCTATTTATTAAAAAAAAAGTTTTGCATAAAAGATATAAAAATTTTGATATCTTATTGATTTTGCATAATATTAACAATTTAAGTTCAATTCAATTAATTTAAAAATAAAATACCTTCATGAAAGATTCTTTTGTTAAAAAAACTGCAAAAAGTTTTAAGTCACTTATGAAATAAATCATTTTAAATGTTAAATTTTGCTTTTTTAGTGTATAAAACTTTAATAATCTGAATAAAAATATACCTAGAAGTACGAATTTGCATTTAAAAAATAAAGGATGTAATGAAATAGAGGTTATATTTTCATTATAACCTCTATTTCATTACATCGTCTATTTTATTTTGCTTTTACTCTATGTTATATGCATTTATGAGATCTTCATTGATTTGGTTTTATTTTTAAGCTGGTGAACCAGATCGCTTAAACGCAAATGGTATGGTATTTAACAATTGTAGCAACTGGTGGACAGCTGATGGACAAAACAATGGTAATTGCGATAAAAATATGTTTCCAACATCAACCAATTACATCTCTTTTGGATCAGCTAAAGAATTGCTTTCTATACAATTTTTCTTACGTACAAATTTAGAAAAGGTAAAAGTATTTAATTTTCTTCTAATTTACAATTATCGTTTATCTACAAAATGTTTTAAGTATTACAGGGTGGCCAGCCAACTGAAAATCAGAGAAATCTGGAAAAAGTCATGGAATTATTTTCTAGTAAGGAAAATCAGAATAATGTTAGGGGTTTTTAAATTTTTTTTCCAAAAAGTTAGATAAAAAAAATTTTTTTCAAAATTTTTAATTTTTTTTTTTTTAATGTTTTTTTACAAACTTCCACAGAAACATCAATCAAATGAAAAACTTATATTTAATTTGCCATACATTAATAAAATTGTATGGAAAAATAAAAAAATGGTTTCTATTATATTATTACCTTAAGTCTGCAAATCTTTTGAATATATAAATTTATTTAAATGTATGCTTTTATTTAACAATGTTAGTACAATTAATTATAACAACAATTAACGTATTTGAAGCTTTTTCCTTCATTACTGTTACTATAAATTACTGGAAAAATTTACATTGTGTAAATTTTTCCAGGTAAATATTAAAGAAATAATAAAAATGTTTAAAATAACTTTGATTAAATCAATCTTGATTCCATCATTGGGTTGTCCTAAGAGAGCTGATGATAAAACAAAGGATACACATATCCTTTGTTTTATCATCTGTGTATGCAGAAAGACATTTTTCATAAGTAATAATGGTATAATGGCAGTCAAAAGTCATGAAAATGGTGCAAAGCATAAAAAAATATATCTTTAAAAAGCCAACCAACAGTATTTAATTTTTTTTATTTCTTTAATTTATTAATTTCATTTCTTTAATAGCTTCTGAATGATTACCATTAGCTTTCTGTGCAGCCAAACTTTCTTAACCAATGCCAATTGTTTCAACAAATTTTTCTAGAATACAACAATACCACTTTTCTCTTTATTTATAGCTCAAAATGATTTATTATGTTCTGAAATACTTTGGGCACTATACTTTAGCAGCATTTTTCTTACTGATCATGTTCGAAAATAGGACACCTGTTTCAGTCTGTTTTCTGGCAGTTTTGTTGCTAAAAAATGATTTTTGGGAAAACTAAAGTAGCCTACAACGTCACATGTGGTCTTTACCCATATTTTGATGATCTATTTTTAAAAGCAGTCTTAAGTTCTACACACATAGTTGTGTGTTTTGATGAGTCTTTGAATGATGTTATTTAAAAAGTTCAAATAGATAGTTACATTTTTCATTGGGATGTTATTCTCATCTATGTGAATACAACTATCAGGCCTTCCAGAGTGTCCCAAAATCCTAAAATGTCCCAAATTTTTACAATATTACTTTTTTGTCATAAAATGTCATAATTTATCGGATTATGTCCTAAAATGTCCTAAAATTTTAAAAGATTTTTTTCAATATATGTTTTTATACAATAATATACTTATAGTAATGTTGTTTTTTATAAAAAAAACAACATTACTATAAGTATATTATTGTAAATTATTCATATTGTGTGTACATTAAAATGTGCGTATTTGAAAATAATTATTAATCTGTCAAAAAACAGTGTGTACTACAAAGTCATTATTATTCATATCTATTGAATGTGTAATTATTATTAATTGTCAACTTTATTGTTGTTTTTATATCGGTCTACAAAATAGAAAAAGTTGAAAAAAGTTTTTAGATTACTTAGTGAAATTATAGTTCAACTGTTTATTTATAAGATGTCTAAGAGAAAAAAAAAACATAATAAATTGTGGGAGTCTGAGTTTAACTGGATCCAAGTTTGTTCTGGTGATCACTATTCTGCAAGTTGCAAATTGTGCCAGAAAACCTTTTCAATCAGTGGAAGTGGAGCTGGACAAGTAAGAAGCCATGCAATTAGCAAACTTCACACATCAAGGTTTAAAGAAAGAGAAGGACAATCAGAATTTAGTAAAAATAAAGACAAATTACTTGAATTAAAAGCTTCTAAGATTAGTTACACCATTGAGGAAGAGATTTTAAAAGCTGAAATCATTCATAGTTTAAAATGTGTTGAGTCTAACTATTCTTTTGCCTCAACCAATGGAGATAGTAAAATGTTTGAAGCAATGTTTCCAGATTCAAAAATTGCTAAAGGATACAGACAAAGTGAAACTAAGTCTAAATACACCATTCAGTACGGCATCTTTCCATATTTAAAAACGTTGTTATTAGAGGATTTAAATGATACTGTTTTTACATTTAAATTTGACGAATCTACTAATGAACAAGTTAATAAATAGTATGATGGTTATGTACAATATTGGTCTAGAAAGCACAAGTGCATTAAAATTGCATACTGTGGAACTGTCATGGTAGACCATTGTACTGCTGAAAAATTGTTAGAACATTTCCTCGAGCTTGTAGAAAAAGTTAAGCTTAACATAAAGTTTATGCTCCATATTGGTATAGATGGTCCTAATGTAAATGTTAAGTTTGAGAGACTTTTAAAGTCGTCAGAGAAAATGAAAAATTTGAATAAAAACATATCAATAGGCACATGCCCTCTTCATATAGTTCATAATGCATTTAGAGCAGGAGTTAATGTTTTAAATTTCAACATTGACTCATTTGCAATTGATGTTAACTTTTTCTTTAAACATTCTGCTGCAAGAAGATCTGACTATCGACAAATTGAAAATCTAACAGAAATTATTTTACACTTTATTCAAAGACATTCTTCAACAAGATGGGTAACACTCAGAAGAATATGTTCTCAGATTTTAGAACAACACAAGAATCTTTGTAAATATTATATAAAATTTCTTCCAACAACTACATCTTTTAAATCAACATTTAGAGATACTGAAAGATATAAGAGGATTACAGATATTTTGCAAAATGAAATATTGATGCCGTATATTTCTTTTATTGCTTTCATAGCAAATGACTTTGAAATATTTTTAAAAACATTTCAATCAATTAAACCAAGAATTCACCTGATTTACTCTGAAATGTCAAAACTTTTTGTTGCATTAATGTCCAAGTTTATCAAAACTAAGCTTCTGTATGTTAATAATAATGGCAGCAATTCCATAAAATATATTAATGAGCTGCTGATGATTGATGTGATTGACTCAAAAAATTGTAAACCACTAAAGTTAATTGATATTGGCACAAAAGCCAAATCTTATTTTTCAGAAGCTCTAGAAATCTCATGTGGTGAAAAGAAATTTCGGCAAAATTGTCTTGAGTCTTATCAAGCATTTACTAGTTATTTAAAATTAAAATTACCTTAGGAATCAACTATTTAAAAAAATGCAATCTTTCTTGATCCTTTAAAAAAGGGTAGTAACGAGTCTCTAGCAGCTGTCTCAAATCTCACTCTAGAAGTATGCAAATCACTGAAAGTAGTCTTACGTTAAGTTTTTCCATCTTGTTCATCAAAGGAAGAGGTTTGTGCTATTGTAAGCGAATGGCGAATTTACCAAAGTGCTATTATAAATGTTCGGAAGAATTAGTTTCAATTGGGAGAAATCAAACTTCTTACTGGGAAAAAGCCTTTCAGCTTGCGGGTCTTCCTATAGTTTCAAAACTTTTATGTAGTTTTGATATTGATACACTAATCAATTACTTTGAGACTAAAATTTTAAATGATAGTGGTTCACTAAAGTTTCCCAATATTACATCTCTTTTCAAAGTTGTTTTTTCACTTTCGCATGGAAATAGTGCCCCAGAGAATGGATTTTCAATTAACAAACACATTATTCAGTTACATGGTACTTTACTTGATCCAGAGACAATTGAGGCTTTGAGGTTTGTAAAAGATACTATATTAAGCTTTGGGTCCATACTCGATATTCCAATAAAAAGTCATTTATACAATCAGTTAAATTTGCTCACTCAAGTTACAAAGCTGACCTGGAAGCTAAACGCAGGTTGAAAGAGAAGGAAGAGAAGCATATAAAAACTAAGGAAACTGAGGAGGCAAAACAACATGTTTTGAAAAATGAAAAAGAAGCTGTTCTTGCATCCATTCAACAGGTATGTTATACTAAACTTTATGAAAATTGTTTTGGCAATGTGATTTGTACTTAATTTTCATTTTTTTAATTATTGCATGAGGTAAAAGTTTTTTTTTTTTTGCAGATAAAAAACGGTCTATCAGTTGCTGATGATTTAGTTTTTGAAGGAAATAGTGATTTAAAGAAGTGTTTGCTTTAAAAAAAACAGCACAAGAAATGAATTGCAGCGAGCGCAGTGTAAAATTGAAACAGGTATGAAAAGAAGACAGGAGCTTGCTGATGAACAAGACATTTTTGAAAAAAGGAGTAAAGAACTGTAAATTTAGTCAATTTAGAATTATACTGGTTTAATTTGCAACTCTAACTATTTTGCTTTTAAACTCTTTTTTAACTTAGTTGTATTATAACTCTAAAGGAATTATTATTTTATTTAGAATTTTATTTTTGAGTAAAATAGTTTTTTCAGATAATTAACTTTAAAAAATCTATTAACATTTAATACTTTGTTTCTATTACGTCCTTTAATATATATCACAAATTGTAAAAATACTGTAGAATCCTTTTAAGTCAGACATTAAAGGGAAATTGATATATAGTCTGACTTGTAAGTATCAACAGATGTATCAATATAACAAAATTAACAAAAATGATTACTTAACAAAAAAATATGTGTAAATGTTTTGTTATGTCCGAGTTATCCAGGGTCAGAGTTAACAGGATTCTATTATATATTTAACTTTGTTTAGTATTTTAGATATAAGTTATTACTTGCAGGTTTTACATGTAAGAGTTGTTGTTGTAAAGTTAAAGATTTTTTTGTTTAAATTATATTTTGTTTATTATCTACTTTATATAAACGTAAATAATATATTATTAATAATTGAGTTTAAAGGGTTATTTCCCAAACTTAAATTTAAATAAGTAAATGCAAAAACTCATTCCTAACTTTCGATTCTCCTAAAATGTCCTAAATTTAACACTAATTTGTCCTAAAAAGTCATAAAAAACTTGGAAAAATCGTCCCAAAATCATAAAATTTTACCCTATTTTAGGAGTGGGAGGCCTGAACTTTTCATCAGTGTTTCTTAGTTATGCATCTGCAAATGATTTGTACAAACGTTTCACAAGTGTTATAAATAAAAATTTTCAAGCCAAAATTTTACAAAGTTTTATGGATGGATCAAATGTGAATTGGAAGTTTTTTAATAATCTCCATGAGTTTAGTAGAGTTTAAAACATCTGTTTTTGAAATGGGATCATATGGTCTACATGTTGTATATGCTAGAAAGCAGGTCATAAAAGTTGAAATAATGGGTGGCAACTAAAAAACGACACTGGATTTAAAGACACATATCTCTTTAAAGAAATAAGATAAAACAAAAAGGAAAAAGTTATAGAAAGTATTTTTATTCTAGTTTTTAAATATATTATCGGTTGTTCTCAATTAAACCATTTCTTCTGACATTATCAACTAGGCCTGGAATAGGCTGAGCTAGTTTCCGTATGAGCTCAATATCAATTTTATTAAGGCAATACTTGATTCTAGAACGTACTTTTTTAAGATTTTTTTCAAAATACTCCAAAAATTTTCCATAGGGAGACATTCTGGCAAGTTTGCAGGGTTATCCGCTTTCTCAACATAATGCACGTTTTCCTTGTTTAGGTACATAATTACTGTTTTTGCATAGTGAGATGATGCTAAGTCTGGCCAGAATACATATGCACCATCTGAATGATACCTATTGATGAATGGAATAAGTCTCTTCTTAATGCATTTGTTTAAATAGATTTTTTGGTTTACAGCCAGTCCACTTGGTTCAAAATAAGGTTGAGAAAATCCATTTTCAGAAAAAGCAATCCATAGAAGTAATTTCTTTTAAAACTTTTGCTTTGTATTTTAACTGTAGATAGAGTAGATTTTACATCACTAGTATAAAATATATCATTTCCCTTGATACTGGAGTGATTTAACGTGAAATAAGACTCATCGTCAATGATTGGTTTACGATTTTTGAATTTCTAATACAATCGACTGCACTTAGTTCTAGCTACTGCTTTTTGCTGGTCAGAACGTTTTGGAATCGTCATTTTTTTTCTTGATTTAATATTTGTTCTTTTTTTTTAATGTTTTACAAATATGTTGCTTAATACAATTGAACTTTTTAGCTTTTTGTCGTTGAGAAACACCGTCTTTATGGTCAAACATGAGTTTGAGTCTTTCAATATTTGTCTTGGTCATTTTTTTAGCTTTTACTCCTCTTCCTTGAATTCCTTTGTACCCAGATTCACTTTCAGCACGTTTAATTATCTTGTAGATAGTACTATTAGGTATATTCTCAACTTTAAAGTGGTCATAAGTGAACTTTTTACCAGCATTTTTGTAATTTAAATAAAATTCATACACACGTTTTCTAATCTCTTCTTGTTTTGAATTTATTTTTTTATTCATTTTTCTATAAAAAATAAAAACACATAAAATATTTAAAAACTAGAATAAAAATACCTTCTAAAACAGTTTTCTTATTTATAAAATCTAATTTCTTTAAGGAGATGTGTCTTTAAATCCAGTCTCGTTTTTTAGTTGTCACCCGTTAGAATGTTAATGCAGTACTCAAAGGTTTTTATAAACTTTCACATGATAATCCTGGTCATAGGGCAGATTATCAAACAATTTGTGGAAATGATAAGTTTCCTCTGAAATTTTGTTTAATAAAATAAGTTGAAATGTAATTGTATGTCAAAGAGCTTTGATATTTATGATAATGTGAAGTTGTATGTCACGCAGTCTAAACTACCTGATAAGTACACTGTAAACATTGTTACTAATGTTATTGATGATCGTTTAATGCCTGCTAAAAGTGCTTTTTTCTCAGTATTCTCAGCTTCAATTGCAGTGCCGTTTTTATTCTCCATTAGCAGCATTCTTATATCAAGTACTTGAAAAGCTAATGAGATCTCTTATGCAGAACTTTATTAAAAAAAGATGTATTGGAGGGGTTAAATTCTATTATAAAGCTAATGAAAACTTTACCGCACACAAGTTTTACCAAAAAGAAGTAAAAATTAGTGAATGTCAGAAGTTACAGTTTCTAAGCGATTGTATTCTGTTTTACATTGGAGTTGTTGATAAACTGAGAAAAAGATGTCCTTTAAAATATAAACTTACAAGAGCTATCTCAGCTTTAAACTTCATTATTATTTATTATAATATAGGAAAAAACAAAATGACTGATTTACTCGCAATCCTCGTAAATCTAAATGAATTAATGCTATAATAGATGATATGGTCAATCATCAGTATCAAGGTATATGTGATCTTGCAAAAGGTATCCATAAATTTTTCAATCAATTCAGATGTTCTTGTAGAAAATGTGCACAAAAATTCTGTGTTGCCTAAAGACAGGTATATGATGGAATTCACCACGTTGGTGGAATTTGCAATGTGAAAATAACTAAATCAATTATAAATAATGTAAACATGCCCCGATGCCATTACAAAGTTTCTTTAAAAGGAGAAAAAAAAAAGAAAAGTTGCAAGAAGAAAAGGGCTTTTGTTAAAAAAATAGCTGTGCAGAAAATTAAGGAATTAAATGCTAAAAAAAGCTAAATAAGCATCAGGGAGATATACGTGAGATTGAACTAGAATTTAAATTGCTATCACACAATATGAAATGAACAAATTTACATTATTTTTGTTTAAAAACTATTTTCTATAATTTAAAGATAACTTTTGGTTTAAAGCATTTAAGTTTTTTGAAAGCAAAAAGTAATTTATCAAACCATTTAAAATGTTTATTTTTTATCTCATAATAACTGCAATATATATATTGTAAAACTAGCTTATATCTTTGTTCTTTCGACATTTTCAAGAAAATTTATTTATTTGCTATTAAAATTTCCAAATGTTAAGAACATTAGACAAATGGGATCAAATGTTTAAAATTTGAATATTGGCATATGCATATTTATTTCATAGTAATAATATAGAAAAGCTTAAATTAAGATAATATAACTTATATGGTATAAAAATATAGAAAAAATAAAAAAAACAAAATATATAATATATATTTTTTTTAATTATTTTTTTCTTCATAATATCTGTGGTATTAAACTGGGAAGCATTTACAAGCAAGTTAAGTAATGTAAAAATTCAGGCTTAAAAGTACAACTGAGTCAGAGACAAATATAATATATCAGGAAAGACTTAAGGAATTTAATTGAACTAAGTAGCTGGCCGCCCTGTATAGTGTACGTCGTTGTAAAAAAAAAAATTTTTTTAGGATTTCTCTTCTAACGCACCATAAGCTGGAACGAAAATTTTACAGATTAGATTTCTATTATGCTAACCTTCTTTTGAATAAATAAACATTAAAAGTTAAACATTTATAGAGTATGATATATTTAAGATATGATTTTAATCGAAGATCACCTAATGTCGAATAATGACGTGTTGATGTGTTAATGTAACAGCGTTTTGTTTTCAATTTTTATTCATATTGATATTTTTTTACTTTTTAAAAAAATATATTTGCGAAGTGATTAGATTTTGGAGTAATTGGATTTTTTTGAGTTTTTGTTTGTGAATTTTATAAATTTATAAAGAAACTCGAATAATGAAAAATATTGAAGATATCCAGATCATGTTATTTTTACCCATGTAACAAACAATATTAGCGCAATATTATTTATATAGTTTGCATACTGTAAAAAATATATTGCACCAATATTATTTGCTAATGGTTTTTGTAAAATATTGTTTGCAACTAGCTTTTGTAAAATACGCACGGTTTTTAAATGTTATTGAAAGCATTTTTATAAGTTTGAAAACTATTCTCAAACAATTTTTTTAATGTGTTTTATTTTTAAAAAAGTTCCAACTTTTATCCTCGTGTATATATATATATATATATATATATATATATATATATATATATATATATATATATATATATATATATATATATATATATATATATATATATATATATATATATATATATATATATATTAGATTTCACTTTAGTATTACTAAAGTGAAAATTTCTAAAGCATTAAAAAAAATATTGTTATAATATATATTTAAATGTAACAAGTTACACAGTTTTTGATAAATAAATCCCCCTTCTTAGCTGCTCAAGTCTCGTCTTGTCTACAAAATTTCATCCAACCGCTTATATTCGCAAACAATCTAATGTTTATAAACATTTAAAATCTTTCATTAATTCTAAAAATCTAATTGTGATTGTTTTAGAATTAATGATACCCTGCCCACCCACCTCCTCCCCTCTTCCTACCAAAACAAATGGAAGGAAAAAGAATCTTCATATTATATGAAATTCTTTCACTAAATAACAAACATCTCGTTGTTTTGAAAAATTTATCAATCTAAGATTTATTATTTGATTTTATTTTTTGTTAATATATTCAATTGTTTTATTTTTATCTATTTTTTTTTATTATTTACTGTGTCATAATTTTTTAGATATTGTTAGATATTCAATGGTTTGTGTAAGGTTTATGTGCCTATTATTATTTGTTTGGGATGAGTTAAGTTTTAATTTTTACATACTAGAGTTAACGAACGTTTTTTTGTTTGATTTGTTTTTTATTTCAATCTTTGTATAAATTTGTGTTTTGATAAAAAAGTTTTATTTGTCAGAAAAGCAAAAATCTAACAACATATAATAGTAGATACAGTTATATCTAAAGCTTTCAATAAGGTTTGGCATACTGGTCTCCCCATAAGCATGTTTCATATGGTGTATTTGGAAAAGAAATCGAGATTACCAAATCTTTTCATTCTAACCACTTTATAAAAGTTGTCCTCAGATTCTGTAAAATATTTTGGTTTTATTTCTAAGCAAAGCAAATATCTAAATACATATAACATTAGATAAAGACATATCTAAAGCTTTTGATAAAGTTTGGAATACTGGTCTCCCTATAAGCCTGCTTCATAAGGTTTATCTGGGAGAGTTTTTCGGATTATCAAACCATTTTTTTCTAACCGCTTTAATAAAGTCATCCTTGCAGGCCAACACTCTTCTTCATATCCAGTAACTTCTGGGGTACCTCAAGGTTCTATTCTTGGTCTTATTTTGATTCTTATCTACATTAATGGTCTTTCTGACAATCTTACATCTAAAGTAACTATTTGCTTACGAATTAACTTTATACTCCTGTCTTAACACAAGTCCTATCATTTCGATCGCTTAGAACAAGCAGCTGATCATGAATCTGCTGCCAGATCTCATTTCTGTAACAGATTGGGGCTAGTAGTCGCTTGTGATTTTTGACTCAAACAAAACTTGGTTAATTACTGCAACATGTTTTGCAACACTATCGACATTCCTATATTAATAAATAGCAACCCTTGGATTATTGCTCACTCCTGGCCTCTCATGAAAACCATATATACAGCCAATTGCAAAGTTTTAGTAATAATAATAAGTTAGTAATAGGTAGTAATAATAATAATAAGTTAGTAGTAATAATAGTAGGTAATAATAATAATAATAACAAATAAAAAAAGTTAGTAATAATAATAAAAAGTTACTAGCAACACCAACAAATCAAAAGTCAGAGACTTTTAGAAATAATATCTTTCTAAAAAGTAGTTAAGAAGGCAGTGTTTAAAATTAGTGATTAGCTTGACTGATTATGATTTTACACTTTGGAATTTTAGATCAAATTTTGTAGAAAAAGTATTTGGTTATTGAAGATTATAGCTGTTAGCAGACAGAAATTCTCTAACAATAAAAATAGTATAATATTTTTCTTTAAAAAATTATTTCTCATGTTTTCTTAGTTTCTGACTAAATGAAATAAAATCCATTGAAGGAGGGGGAGAAGTGTCACCTCCAACATCCAACATCATAAAAGAAAATAATGATCAACGGTACCAAATGCTTGTTGTAGATTAAAAATCACACCACAAGCAAAATAGTAATTGTTGAAAGCTTTTCTAATAACTTCAGTGATTTTAAAAAGTGCATAACGTGTGGAATGCTTGCTGCGAAACCCATAATGGTGATGATATTTATATAGAAAATTATATAGTATGTTAGGCATAGCTTTATATATTATATATTTTTAAAAGAAGCGAAAGTGGGCTTTAGTTAGTTTGGTTTATTAGAGGTTCTTTTCTATGAAACTGAACAAGTTGAGCTATTTTAAAGACATGGGAAAAAGTCTATTTCAAAAGAATTAATTATCATTTTGCAGAGAGGCATTCAGTGACGGATACTATGAAACTTAAAATTTATTGAAGAATATAAATTTAGTTAAGAATAGCAAAAAAATTGTTTTGTCAACTTGTTGCTCTCGCGTTTAGGGCAGGGGGAATGAAATTTCAGGACTTTTTTGTTCATAACCTCCAATTATCGCAATTTTTTGCAAAGCATTATTATTTGACATAATTATAAACATACAAACACCAAAATAATCTGGATCCGTCACTGGAGGCATATATAATATGGAAAACAGATTTTTGAAAGAAACTGGGAATACTATTGGGACCTAAACTTTTTTTATTTGATACAGATAAAAATAATTTTATAAAACGAGTTTTATGTTTTGCTGACATAATTTATATCTTCACATCATGAAAAATATAATAATGTATTTAAAGGTCTTGGGTCAAGTCACAAAACTATTTGGCTTTGACCCAAGACCTATTATACCATATGTGGTTAAAGAGGTTGCTGGATTTAACGTTTTTCAGTAATGTAATGCCTTACTGATTGATATTTTAATTGAGTGAAAATGATTCAATATTCAAAACCAATAACTATGAAAAAGGTTTTACGCGTTTAAACGTGTAAAACATTTGCCATAACAGTTAATATTAATCAATTCACGATAGGTCATAGTCCGAAAGTTTAACTTATATCACCACTGTTCGTGAAAAAAAAGTTTTAAAAACCTGAAAATGTGCCCAGTCATTTCCTAATGTATGCAGTTCGTGTGAAAAAAAAAAATTCAATAAAAAGTGAAAAGCGATTGTTCAAATTCAAAATGATTCACAATAGTAAAAAGCTTTCTTTTCCAGGACCTATTTCAAAATAACGCATGGGCAAATTGATCCTAATTTTTGTCAAATATAAATTTTACATTACTTTGAGGTATCAAAATGAAAAGGCGACTAGTTATTTCACAAAAAACAATTTATAATAGTTTTAAATGACTATATTCTATATAATCATTTTTAGTTTAAGAATATTTTCTTTGAAGCCATTTTTAAATGTGTCTATATACTCTATGACTATATGATATGATATGACTATATAACAAGTGCGGATCCATAGGGAGGGGGGGCAATGGGGACGATCACCCTCCCTTACATGATTTGAAAAAACATTTTTTTGTGTTTATAGTCTTTTATAAAAAAAGCGTACTTGATTTGTTGATTATTTTAACAACTTATATTACAAATTCTAATTTACAATTTCCCGACTTTGTGAAACGGTAAATCACGTTTTCAACGTTTACTGAAATTTCTCTGTCCACGTTAAATAAGGCCAATCCAACTAGTCTATTTTCTGTCATTCGTATTCTTAGCCAATTTTTAATTCTTCGCAGTATTAAGAAACTTATAGGACATGACTTGATAATTTGAAATACCTTGTGACTGATTGGATACTGCAGAAAGATCAATTTGTAGTGATGTGACTGAGCCATTTTTTAAGGAGGACACATGTACTACACAACCTAAAGACACAATAAAGTCACTTTCTCTAATAGATAATAATAAAATTCTTGCTTTTGATGGAGATATTCTGTCATTCCATTTAGATATATTGTTCAGTTCATCAATTATTTGTGGAAGCTTAACACTAAACGTTAGCCAAGCATCCTGTCTTTCAACCCATCGTGTTTCGCAGAGTGAAAGCGGTTGTGAGTTTAGCATTTTTTATAATAAAATTTTGTTTTGCAGAAGCATTGAAAAAGGTAACACCTTCGCTAATAACACCCAAACAATTGCTTGTACGTTCGAACTTTCGGATAAAGTGAAATTATTAACATGGACACCAAACATCATTTGACGCAATTTGTTGAATTTCAACTATCGCTCCTTTTTGCAATGACGAAAAAACACTATAACTATCTGTTCCTACACCGACACATTTTTCTAAAGAAAGGTGTAATTTTTTTTCCAACAGGTTTATAACCGATTGACCAATAACTTTGCTGTCAAGAATAGATTCATTGTAAATCAATGCATTACTTTTAGTTTGATGGTTTTGATCATGCAAATCAACAAATCTAATAAAATTTTCTCGAACTTATCCGTCAGGCATCAAATACCATAATATTATTTTCATTTGTGACTGATGTGATGCATCAGTTGTTTCGTCAAACATAATTGCATAATAATTTGATTCTCTAACACAACTCACATTTTGTTCACATATTTCTTCTACACAGCATTAAATTAAAGCATTTTGTGTAATTTTGCAAATGTATGTTGCAGAAACTCTATCTGTTTTCAAATGATTTTCTAAATTTAAATCGCCACAATTTACTCTAAATTTTAGCAATTCTCAAAAATTACCTTCATTTGTCATCACAACAGAACAGTCATCGTCTGTGTCTAATAAGCTGCCATCATCTCTGTGGCCTCTAAAAGGAATATTTTCCTTCCTAAAAAATAAAATTGTTTCAACAATAGGTGTCAATTGTTGACAATTTTTAAAACCTGTTGAAGCTGTTGAGTGTTAACTCTGTTTACAATATCCATTGCTGGTTTATCATAGTTTTATAATAACACCTTCCTGCTTCAACAGCTTCCTTATTATATGTTGCTTTTTCGTGACATGTTAGATC